TACTGTTACCTAATATTATGTTGTGTGACATCACATGTTTTGGAATACCATGCAGATTGTAACTTTGCATTTATTAGGTACGTTCAATTGTTCATGTTTTGATGTTATTCTGTTTTGTGTACCTAAATAAATAAATAAAAAGGCTGCAACTTTATTTTAACATAACGACTACTGGGAATCAAGTCGCTGGTAAGCATGTACTTCTAATAGTATAGAAAACAGAATAGAATGATTTATATAGAATGATTTTTTTAATTTGGTGGCATTGGTGTGAGAAATCTTTCTAGCGTTGCATTGCCTGCTTTCCTTGCTTCCGTGCACAGTGTCAGTGACTTATGTAACATAATTTTAAATAATAAAGTAGACCTATGCTTTGCTACGGAGGCAGGGCAGACATGGCAAACGCTCTGTCCTGGTGAAAATATTCCACTGGAAGTTAACCAACAAAAACAGTGGGATATTCCGTTGGTACAGGGCGTGCAGAAGGATTTGTTTCATAATTTCCATAGTGACCAAGATAAAGCACGCCTTCTAGCTGTTTCGACTAAGGAATCTAGTCACTGGTTACACGCTTTACCATCAAGTAATCTCGGCACATTACTTGATAGGGAAAGCTTGCGTATTGCCGTAGGAATCCGACTAGGAGCGGCGATTTGTCAACCCCATCAGTGCCCCTGTGGTAGCAGCGTCGACAAGTTTGGGCTCCACGGACTTTCATGTAAGAAAAGCGCTGGTAGGTTTTCACGACACAGTTCTTTGAACGATGTCATCCAAAGGGCTCTTGCCTCTATAAATGTTCCCTCGGTTTTAGAGCCTTGTGGAATATTTAGAGACGATGGCAAGAGACCCGACGGTATGACATTGGTCCCTTGGGAGAGAGGTAAAGCCCTAGTGTGGGATGCTACTTGCGTAGACACTCTGGCGGCCTCTCATCTCAGGGGTACCTCGTTTAAAGCCGGGGCGGCATCAGAGGCAGCTGAGCTGAGTAAGTGGCGCAAACATGAGTCTCTGAGAGACGACTACATATTTGTGCCATTTGCTGTAGAGACTATCGGTCCGTGGGGTCCACGTGCGGTGAAGTTCCTAAAGGAACTCCATCCGCGGCTGGTCGTTGCTGCTGGTGATAAGAGGGCTGGTTCTTTCCTCGCTCAAAGGCTAAGTGTAGCCATTCAGCGGGGAAACGCAGCCAGCGTTCTTGGCACGATACCGCGGGGAGTAGGACTATATGATAATTAAGTTTCTAGTTTTAGTTTGTTTTTTTTTATTATCATAGTTTTTAATATTGTAGATAAAATTTGAATGATTTATGTTTGAATTTTATTCCAATAATATCGAAAGTAAATAAAATATGATTAGTAAATAACTACGTGGTAGAGCCGTGCTGCAGCTATATTAGTAGTATAGTTGTAGCACGAATGGGTCGGCTCGACCGGGGAAGGACCACGCTCTAGCCACAGAATACTAGCGTTAAATAGCAGCTTAATGCTGGTGTGTTTCGTATGGTGAGTGTAGAGAACCGGGGACCCTTTTTACTGGAAACGAGGCATTCCGTCTTAGTCCTCAGGGTTGGCAACGGATCTACATTTTGATTTTTAATCGAAGATAGATATAGATGTCTATGGGCCACAGCAACCAATTACCATCAGGTGGCCTGTGTGCTCGTTTGTCACTCTTAAAAATAAAAGAACTAAGTGAGCATGCAAGTAAAATCTTTTACCCTATTTCTTCCCGTGACTATCATAAGAGGAGAATATGGGAAATGGCAGAAGTCTTATGCCTTTCTATAAATGGCGGTATAGCCAACTCCGTTCCGTACGGGATTCGAACCCCCGGCCTTCGGCGTCTTAACTCATTGCTACCCTTGAGGACTTTTATAAAATGAAAAAGGGTATCTGGTTCTTTTCTCTCACCATACGAAACAATTAAATGTTATTTTACAGAGGTATTCAATGTGCTCTTTTTTAAAATGCAAGTCTGTTGGCGTTTGCTTTATAAAGGCCATGTTCAATGGTGGACTTAATAACACAGTAGAAGAAAAATGTCATTCCTAAACTTCTAAAAACTACAATGTATTTTTATTTTCCTGCTAACCTAGTAATAAATGTTTTTGGTTTTTATCTTCTGCGAGTTCTTCAGAACGTTATAGTTCTCTAATCGATATTGATCATGTGCTAGACTAGACATGTGTCAATCGTAAACGATTCGTTCGTTTGAACCAGGACACTTAAAAGTACAAATGATTCATTCTTCTGTTTTTGAATGTTCCGGTACGAACAATCACAAACATTTGACGGACGCTTTATAACTTGTTATTGGTGTGAATTGTGAATGACTTGAATAGTTCATAGTATACACTCGAATTTAGTAATAATTACTCTTGGCAGGCAACACCAGAAGACAAGCATAATATTTGACGCTGTTCACCGCAATGGTTACACTGCCATCTATCGGAAATATGAGACGTTGTTTTCATTCTTATTTCTCAAAGATGTTCATCGAATAAAACAAATTTTGTGGATTTTATCTCATTTATGTTAACTTATTTTTAATTGACTACGTTTAGTGATTAACTTAAGACTTAGGCCACTTTTGGACAGGAAGGTGTTTTTATGCACCTGAAAATTTGGAAATAAAAATAAGTTAAAATAAACGCGATAAAATAAGTAAAATTATTTTAATCAATATTAATTCATGTAAGCACCATCTGTTGGACGGTTGAAACACCCGCACTTTTTTAGTTTAAATTTATCAAAGTGACTTTGAGAATAAACGGAATATATTAGAACTTACGAGTACACGAAAATGGCGGGAAATTCTCTGGTAATCCCAATATACCCCTTCTTCTCGGATCCAGATTGAATGATCATATAGTATTATAGTATTGCACTAAAACGACACTGTCACTTTCAAATAATACCAATACAATTCCACTAATAAAAAAAAAATCGATAAAAAGTTGTCTGTGATTCGACGACTCGAGAATAGCGTTTTCTCCAACATTCCTTTGTTAGTGTCGGGTTTCATTGAAGGTAAGATTTTGATCAGCACTTGAATTTCCGATCACGCATCGCAGGTGTCCGACTCTAACTTCTTGTGCGTTTGTACTGACAATTTCGGTGTTTCATTGAATTTAAGGGCGTCGTGCTCATGAATAGTGACTAAGAAATACGTCGTAATCACATAATGGGCTGTTTCGATACGACGGTTCATCAATGCAAACGAATACAATGAACTATCTGTCTTTGATTTTCTACCGACTTCAAAAAGGAGACTGTACTCAATTTGACTGTATGTTTTTTTATGCGTGTTACCTCATAACTTTTTACTGGGTGAACCGATCTCGATGATTCTTTTTTTATTTAAAACTGGTGCTTCACATGTGGTCCCGTATAAATTTGATTAAGGTCTGACGAATAGTTTTCGAGTTATTCTTAATAATTTATATTGAAGTCGTTTGTACATAATTTTTAATTTTAAAATATAATTCTGTTACATAATGCATAGTTTTAGCTCTTGCGTATAAATTACTCAATAACAGAAACGCCTAGCAGTCAGAGTAACTGGCGTCTAAGTCCTGGTGTTTTATTATCAGTTTGAACCAATATTTGTGGTAAACTGTTAGTTTTGAGTATGTAGTGCAATTATATAATTCTGATGGAAATCGTTTGCCAATAGGAACCATTCCTTTAATGCATTGTTTTTCATTAGGAGAATACTTGGTGTCGTAAGAGTTCTAGGGAAATGAAGCAGCAGATGGACAACAGCATCTTGATGACAACTCAACTTCGGTGGCCAACCCGCTTGCAAGTGTTACAACTATAACAATTCGCTAGTTAAAGAAATAGGTGGTACCTACTACCTACCCAGACGTAGTCCTAGCCAGGAAACGATATAATAACGAGGAACAAGTGCGCAGTTTGCACTTTAATAGTAGTTTTTGCGTAGTTAAAGCTTCTGGAAATTATTGTTGTGGAATAAGATGACGTCATCATACTAAACTACTTCATTTCATTAGACGGGGACCTCTACATGTAAAATACACCGTTAGTCAAAGAGTTGCGGAAACCAGCCCGTATAACACAATACGGTGACAGTGTTTTAAGGTAGACGTAACAAAAAAAAAACTAAAAAAATCAAATCATAATATAATAAAATCGATTGATTTGGCTAGCACAGGACAGTGTTTTGTAGTGCTCCTTAGAGCACCTATATTAAGTAGCGTGAGCTTGTGAAGGGCTGTAATTATGATGATCATGAATGAAAAAACAAGGGATCCGGATTCGTCGGATTTCAATTACGTTAAGAATTATTAGAACAGAAACATGAAAGTCAGAGAATAGAAGTGACATATAAGGCGCGAGAGAGATGTATTTCTTATGGTTATGATTGCCAAAGTGATAAGTCCATCCATCTCGAAAGAGGCAGTGTGCTAGCAGCAACAAGTAGCAGGCGATTATCGATTTAAAAGCATTACAATATGTAGGTATGTGGTCGATTATAAATTATAATATATGACTAAATCCAAGTGAACTGTTTTGACAAAGCCCTTTAAAAGATTAAAAAAAATTGCCTGTCGTAAATATTTGGGTAAAAATATATACAACAGGCATTTTTTATGATATAACATTAAATATAGACAGTGTGTCCGTAGGGCAATCAATTTGAAATATGGGTATATAATATAAACTCATTTAGTTATAAACAAAGTAAATAACGTCGGTTATAAATATATTGACAGTATTAACATAACAAGTGGAATAAACTAACACGAAAGAAAGGAGCTAATTTTGAATTCACAAGGACTATTACGACATTTAAGAACGAGAAACCAATGAACAACGAATCAAAATCAAATCATTGAATACACGACCTTAGAGGTCGTGTATAGTATATCGCAGAACCCCATAAATGCACCTACGCAGTAGAACAATGTCGACACAATACTTCACAGAATCGTGCATGCGAGAAATAAACGGACCTTATTTTAATATTATTCGATTTCATATTGCATACTGACCGCGATACGTGGAACCGATGGTAGGCCTCGTGACTTGATTCAGGATGTCCTGGTGGGTCACTGACCCATCGATCGGAAGCCCCTGGAGATCTTGGCGGCATGTTTTCTGTTGAAGAAGAATAAATTACCTAATAAAGTTGGTTATCAAATAAATTTCTAATGAAAATAATTTTATATTAGCGCCATCTGTTATAAACGTGATAAAGCATTACCAAGTACGTTCGCGTCGAACTGGATTTAAATTAAACTTCTAAACTGTAGTACTTAGTTTTTCTCATAGATGGCGCATTGGTTAAATATAAAATGTACGAGTCAATGCAAAGATCTTTTATTTAATTATATACTTTATTATACTCGTATTATGTTTGGTAAGATTTTAGAACCATTACTTTTAACTTTTTTAAAAGTTTATGCATATTGTTTTATATTTTTTATATTATTATATGTTTGTTTCTTAGAGTTTTGAGATATTATTACCAGTTTAGTTTTAAGTGTTTTTTTTTTCTAAAATTAAATCAAAGCCGATAATTTATTGATCTTTTCCCCCTATTTGAAAGAATGGGGTAAGTATAGGGAATGAAGTCACATTTATACCTATACTAATTAAGACCCATTAATTGAATAAATGCTCGTTTTAAACAGCGTAAAAAGCAAAAAAAAAACCGGGCTATCTTCCATTTTAAGTTATCAAGTATAGGTCCGATCTGCGCTTACTGTATCTTGAAGTCTTGCAGTAGTATGCCTGGGCTGAGGATTTTTTTTATTTATAGAATCCTAAGCAGATGGTATCACGGTAGTATCTAGCCATATTTTCTATTAAACTCAGCTTTTAATTCCAAAGTGGACTTTGGTACCTATCCTTTTGCAACACCTAGTTAATCGTTGGAACCCTTGTCATTGTGTCAGATTTGCTCACAAAATACCAGCGTAAAATAGTAGCTTAGTGTTGTTGTGTTTCTTATAGTGAGTGTAGATAACCTTTTTACTTAAAACGAGGCACTCCATGTGAGTCCTCAGGGGTTACAACGCATCTGCATTTTGATTCTTAATTAAGGATATGTAAAGATGTCCATAGGCCGCAGTATCAATTTACCATCAGGTACTCTGCTCTTTTGTCTACCTTATTCTATAAAAATTTCTAAAAATCCCTACGATGTTAGTTGTGCTTTCAAGTATCTTCTTAGGGTTTAGCGATTATTGTTTGAACTCACCTGCAGTTCACAGCTGTCGTCGTTACTTTGGTCTCGGCTCAGGTTGATGTTCTTAGTTTGCATTTTCCTCCCCCCGGGGCCTCTAGGGCTCCACCTGTAGCAAAATAATATGATCATGAGAACTATAATCTCTTGGTAGTTGTGTTAGCTATCGTAGAACTAATCCATGGTGCAGTGGCTTAGTAATTCGAATCCCGCACGGAACAAAAATTTGTATAGCCTACAAGTAATTGTTCCGGGACTGAATGTTTGTCCTTGTGCAATTTATGTATATAAACTGCCTCCACGTTACAGATAGAAATCATCTTGTGGAGGGAACTTTATTTAAAAAAAAGAAACAACAAAAAGAAGCACAGTCTAAATATTAGCAAATGAGGCAACAACTTAAGATGTTTTTTCTTGGAAAACTTTTAAATCAAAGTGGCATTAGAGCAGCGAGCTACTTTAAGCACTTTTATCAACAAAAAAAAAACTAGTGGTTTCATGGTGTCATGTAACAAATTGTAAAAAATATGGTAGGAGGCTTTCCCATCGCTTTTCCAGTCACAAACCCAATATTACATTAGTCGTTTTTTACAACATGCTAGGCAAGTAATACATGTGGTATATTTAATTCAAGACAATTAAAATAATTGGGCTTTACTTTGGGGAAATCCATTATATTTGAATAGATAACTAGATATACACATCATTTCTTTTATAGAATAAGGGTGACCAACGAGCACACAGTCCATCTGATGGTAAGTGGTTGTTGTGGCCCATAGACATCTACATCTATCTTCGTTTGCGAATTAAAAAGCAGATGCGTTGTCAGCCGTGCTACGATAGAATGCCTCTTTTCCAGTAAAAAGACAACAGCACTAAGCTGCTATTTTACGCTGGTGTTCTGTGAGAGTGCGGTCCTTCCTCGGTCGAGCCGACCCATTCGTGCTACAACTATACTAATAATATATGTAGCTGCAGGATCGCTCTACCACGTAAGTAAAACTGCTATTTAACGGCAAAAATAGCTAAGAAGGAGATACCTATCCAGATAGACTCCGAGGCGGAAAAGGAGTCATACCACCTCATAAAATAAGGGTATGCATAAATTATCTTTACTGTCTATCAAAAAGTCCACTACTAAGCATAGACTTCTCCTATAGATTGCCTCACAGGGATATTTCATAGTCACCACTCTTGGGAGCTCAGTTGGTAACCACAGTTTATCTAAAGTTGTTATTAGGACGACGCTGCTGCCATCTCCTGGTTTGTTTCGAACTGTCGCCTCTTACGACTGCCATGGAACAATGTTAGGTAGTGGATATTCTTACTAGAGCAACTGGAAACAGTATCAAAGGTGCGAGGTAGCTGGTACTGCGAGCGTCAGTCTGCATAACGAGCATGACGATTAAAGCAAATTCTCTGCAAAGGGACAGTTTTTTTTATAGGAGAGTGGGCAAACACCAAGGGAATTGCAGGTGAGTTGTCGGCCTTTAAAACTGTGACCTTTTGTTGATAAAGAAGACAAAAAAGTAGAAGAAGAAAGAAAATTATTTCAAAGCATTTTGTCCCATGTTCGTTTGGGACTTATAGGTATTATGTTTATGTAGGACTTCTAACAAAAGCATATATTAAAGATGTTAAAAGTTAATATAGCTGAGGTCCGCGTTGTAAAATTCTTCTACGTGGTATCTTCTACGTGGTAGAGCCGTGCTGCAGCTGTATTAGTAGTATAGTTGTAGCACGAATGGGAATACCAGCGTAAAATAGCAGCTTAACACTGCTGTTTTTCGTATGGTGAGTGTTTTTTTTATAGGAGTGGGGGCAAATGCGGCTCACCTGATGAATAGAATAGAACAGAATAGAATAAAATAATTTTGGGAATTGCAGACGCGTTGCCGGCCTTTTAAAAAGGAGTGGGCTCTTTTCTTGAAGGTCCCTAAGTGGTATCGGTCCGGGAAAATCGCTGGTGTTAATCGATTCCACAAGAAAGTTGTGCGAGGAAGAGAACATCTTCTAAATTGCACAGTGGTGGACCGCCAATCATCCAGGTGGTGTGGATGGTATCGCAAGTTTTGTCGCGATGTGCAATGGTGAAACTGAGCGGCTGGAATTAATCGGAACAATTCCTCAGAGCACTGCCCGTGGTAAATGCCATAAAATACGCAAAGAGATGCAACATCTCTGCGCAGTGCCAGTGTATCGAGCCGATCAGAAAGAACTCGGTCGTCGACGATTCAAACCGATCTGCGCTGGATGCGGTCAAGTGGAAGGAGCTGGCACTGGGGTGCCCCGGCCCAGAGATGAGAACAGTATTCCATGTGAGGCCGGATTTGCGCTTTGTAAAGTTGCAAGCGATGTGCCGGCATGAAATACTGTCTCGCTCTGCTGAGCACGCCAAACTTTTTAGAGGCCAGCTTGGCCTTCCCTTCCAAGTGACAACGAAACTGCACACTATTCGATATGTCGACGCCGAGGATTCCGATGCTAGCTGAGGCGGCAAGGGTAGTGCCTTGAAACTGAGGAGATATGACAAAGGAGTTCTTTTTAGCGGTACACGCGCAAACTTGTGTCTTCTGGGGATTGAACTGAACTAGATTTAGTCGCCCCCAATCCGAGACTTTGTTCAGCAAAGACTTGACTTCAGACACAAGTTTGTCCCGGTACTCGGCGACGTTTTCCCGAGAAATATTGGCACGGCCGGTATATAAGGCATCACCAGTGCTGTCGTCTGCATAGCAATGAATGTTACTAGTTTGCAACATATCATTGATATGCAGGAGAAACAGCGTTGGTGATAGCACGCAGCCTTGTGGAACACCAGCGTTGATAGGCTTGAAATCAGAGCATGCACCGTCTACTACGATCTTGATGCTCCGATCAGCAAGGAAACTGGTGATCCATTTGCACAATTTCTCTGGAAGCCCGAAGGAAGGTAGCTTCGAAAGAAGCGCTTTGTGCCAGACCTGATCGAAGGCCGTCGCAATGTCCAAACTAACGGCCAATGCCCACCCCTTGGACTCTACTGCCTCCGCCCATCTATGAGTCAGGTAGACCAGAAGATCACCAGCTAATCGACCTCGACGAAAACCGTACTGGCGGTCACTAATCAGCTGGTGATCCTCAAGGTACGTCATGAGCTGACAGTTTATAATGGATTCCATTATTTTGGAGAACAAGGAGGTTATGGCGATTGGCCTGTAGTTGGACGGGTCTGAGCGGTTGCCTTTTTTAGGGATCGGGTGGACCAAAGCTGTCTTCTCACCTTTATGCCATAAAAAATATAAAATTCAATTCCTTAGAATTCATTTCCGTATAGTAAATACTAACATCTAAGTAATCAAGTTTACAAAGAGAGGACGTTGGTCTATTTCTGTTGGTTGCAATTCAATTATTACGTAGAAGAAGTCGCATCGATCGGTGTTCAGGGAACTTGCGTGCTGAATAGTATGGGCCATGCACAATGCCTCTTTGTGGTATTACCTTCTATATTTAGAAGTAACTCAACAAAGCGATTCTGTGGACGAGCTATTCTAAATTATGTTATCCATACCAAATCAATATTATAGCATGCTGTATATTTTCCATGCAACACTTGTTCAAATTAACTTTGAATTAAATACTACTTCTTTATAGAATAAGGGTCACAAATGAGCAAAAAGTCTACGGGATGATAAGTGGATGCTGTGGCCCATTGACATCTTCTACGTTTACCTACAATTTAGAGTCATAATACAGATGCGTTCATCCTTAATGAATAACATGGAATGCTTTGTTTCCAGTAAAATGTGTCTCCGGTTTTCTACAGTCACCATACGAAACACAGCAGCGTTAAGCTGCTATTTGACGCTGGTATTCTGAGTGAGTGCGTGTTCCTTCCCCGGTCGTGACTTTACCACGTATACATAACATAAGAAATCATTATGTTAAACAATATACCTATTATTAGCAGTTATAGTTTAGGGGCTATTCGCTCGATAAATTCCTAGAACGCGAGCAACCTGCCCCTTCTCTACTGATCCTGATACCACTGAAACTTATTTACCAAGTTCTTGACTGTAAAAGAAAACATTGTGCAAATCTAAAAGTTAAGTTTACTCATTGAAATATGAGGATAACTATACGTAGGACGCATTTCGACTGTAACTATTTCAACTATATAATCAAAATTTAATAAATAAGTACGTTGCAGACAATGTCCGCTTTGAGTTATCGTAGAAAAGCTGTTTATAGCTCTAATCGATAATTTTATATAGGATGAACAATATAGGACCGATATTTCCCCCTGAGGTAACCGTGACCGCAATGTCCTGTTTTATTTTATTGTTCTCGAGGGGACTATAAGCTTTGTTTATAAGGTTAGATTGGAAAAATATAATCAGTTTAAGGGATCTCTAGTAAAACAATGAAGCGGCCGATATAATCGTTGCCTGTCATCATCACAGTCATTTTATGTACGCAACACGGTAGGGGACTTAATTAAGGGCATCAAAGACTGACTATTTTGCGTTAGGCAGTGCCTTAAGTTGTGTTTTTTTTTTAGAAACGATCATTGCCATTTTGGTCTAGCCGTTGTCAACGCGACTCTGCTTATCATATCCTGGGTTCGAATCCCGTGTCGGGCCTAAAATAGTTATTGGTTTCTCTGTCAAGAAATACTGATTATCTTGCCCGGAGTCAGGATGGGCGATGTTACGTCCCCATGCTTCGGAAAGGAGTAGTCCTGCGTCCGATCTCTCTCCGGTCGTGTCGGGTTACCGTCCAATCGGACTATGAGAATGAGGGAAAGGGAGACGTGACGTTTGCTTGCGTATACACCTTTGTTGTGTTATTGTCGCATTCCATCGAATTTCGGTCTGGAGGACATTATGTGGGAACGAATCACATAATTTTGAATAATTATTCTTATATATTCAGAACAAAAAGCCGAAAATTGTTTAACATAGACATAAATACTGAGTTGAGTGAGAAACATATTGAGTCTTGTGTTTAAATTCTTTGTGCAAATTATATACCTATTTATAAGAATTGCAATTGCATTCTTGAGTGAGAGCCTCGTACTGGTAAAAAGTGTTGGGCGGCCACCCACACAGATGGAGTGAATGGAAAAAAGTTGATGACTGCAAGTGGCTCAG